ATACGTACATTTTGAGGAGACTGTTGAAGTTTCAGCTCAGAAAGAAGTTGTGTACATTTTGAGGAAAATGTATGCGCAAAATATTGATTCTCGTAATGAAATTCCGTCCCTTAACGTACGTACAAGAGTGTTCCCGCCGGCATACCATAAACAAACCTATGCTAAGGTTATCCGAACGATTTCAAAAAAAAATTGAAACCAGTCTTATCTTCACTGTCGATATTGCAAAGTTTCTTTAGGTACTTGTCCGAGCATTGCAAATGATCTCACGTGATTTTAACTTAAGTTTGCTGAATGTTGACATAATTATGTTTAAAGAAAATCTTATTTAGTGATGAAATCGCTCGATTCCAAACTAGTAAATCCTAAAACAAAGATATGATTGAGTCCAGTCAGAGCCTGTGGAAAACACATTTCGTATGGTACCCCGACTTATTGTGCACAAAGTGTATGTTACTATTTGTGACTCAAGACTATTTTCTCCCACACTAGTCTAGCCGCTGCCTAGAAATAAGTTAGAAAAATAGAGGAAATAAAGTATATTCTTTTGTTTCACATCTTAAGTGTATTTCATGTATGTCATAACAACTTTAAGCCCTATTTTCAACTTGGTGTCAAAATAGCTGCAAGACCTTATAACAACTGTCAGAGAAACTTGGCAGAATTGAATAAGTGCATTGTGACGATAGAAACCAAAATGTACATGGAGGGGGGTTGCTGACCCGCCCCCTCCGCGTTCTTCACGCCGCTCTTAATTTAATTAGTCTAACCCCAAATCACTCTGAAGTTGTATTTTCATGTTCCACATGTGCCAAGGCATCATTAACTTTTTTTTCATATTCCCATTTCAAATTTGAAGTACATTTGCACGGCTTCAATTTGATATGTTAGTCGGCACTCTAATGTGCGCTTTCGTGTGCATGTATTTTTTTAATTGGAAAAGTTAACCTTTGGGTCTAACTGTGTTGAAAAAATGGACATTTTGTGACGAAGGTATGTCACATTTGTATAAACCTGGTGTCAAAATAACCGCAAGACAACTGAACAACTGTCAAAGAAACTTGGCAGGATTTAAAAAATGCTTTGAGACAATAGGAGCCAAAATGTACATGGAGGGGGGTTGAGACCCCGCCCCTTTCTGGCTTTTCCCGCCGGTCTTAAGGTAGTTAGTCTGACTTAAAAACACTCTTAAGTAATATTTTCATGTTCCACAAGTGCCAAGGCATCAATACAAACTGATTTCATTTTCTCCTCTACCGTTGCGTTGCAACAGTCTCATCGAAAAGGGAAAGAGGGGGTGACGGCCACGTCAACCCCTGCGCTTTTCGGGCCGCTCTTAAGTTAATTAGTCTGATCTAAAATCGCTCTTAAGTTATATTTCAATAATCTACAAGTTCCAAGCTATCAAATGATACTGGTGTTGTTCTTGTACTCAACATTTTGATTAAATGCAAAATTGACCACATTTGGCATGGCGCCAATTGGCCTTTGTCTGATCTAGAGAAACTTAAGACTGGCCATTATGTGCTCAGGGTCGGTGATACTATGCTTTAAGACAATCAGGGGATTTGTTCCCGAAATTTTGATGAGAGCCTATCCAGCTCTCAGTCTACGTGCTATAGACCCTTTGGAAATGCAACTGCATCACATCACCACAACAACCCTGGTCCTGCCATGGCTACATGATTTTGCTAACAAAATTGACTTCAAATACCACATCCAAGTACAAATTTAATATGCAAATTAGATCCAAAATTGCGGCCATATTGAAATTTTAGATAGCTGCTATCCACTTGGAGTACCCCATCAACTATGATTTACTTGGGTTCCTTGGTATCAGGAACGGGTGAATTCAGACATATCTGCATGCAGGGTTCCTCTCAGCATGCCACTTAGATTCACATGGCTCGAAATAGCCATATTTGTTTGTGTCTTGATACTTTGATTTTCTTCTAGTTTTACAGTTGGAACAGATTTTCACAAATCCTTCAGATATTCTGAGACTCACTTTGTTGTGAAACAGATGGTAACTGGTGTTAATAGTTAAAACCAGTGCGCTGATTTTAAATCCGGAATATAACAGTTTTCTTCTGACGGCTATAACTTGACTACCGTAGTTTACCTGTAATATGTGCGCCAATACTTTCCTGGTATAAGAACAGTTTCCCATTTAATTGCAGAATAGTTATGCTCGCTGTGACCGCTACGAATTCAAATTCAAACACGTTTGAATTAATAACCATTCTTTATATCGCGTGAACGGTTCTCTCCTATTCTGCAAGTTCCACCAAATTTACCTTTTGTATTTCACTTTTGAATGAGACATCGAACACATTAAAATATTGAATACAAAATTAGTGTACAAATTGTGATTTGAATTTTTTGAGGCCGATAACATCTCATGCAGATAATTCCGGCTGACGTTTTGTACTTAAAATTCGCCAAAGAAACTCCAAATAAAAAGTTTGTTACATAATAATATTTGTCTCCTTTTTTTTTTTAGACAAAACAGAAAAAAAAAACAAATCACTATTCAATGAAGGTATGAATGTTACTGCGCAAATCCAGTCTTGGCAATTGGTGAATGCATTAAGTAATCCCCCTCCCCTCCCCCCAAAAAAATTACATTACACCAAAGAGAATATCAGATAAATTTATCTTCTCGTTGTTTTATAAGTGAAGTGCAGCTTTGCCTGCATGCCCCGACAGCCCCAAGTTATCCCTAAGCGAATTTTCAATGACTGTTGATATTATTTTTCAGCCTGCACATTGCTCGAGTGGTGAGGATATCATTCGTGACAGACTTCAAAAACATTACATCAAGGTGAGTTTCTGTTACTGAAAATGACTGCAAAAATTTAATTCCATTCAACATCAACCTAGGGTATATATTTAGGCGATTGAAGACACTGAAATGACACCATCTTCTGGGCTCAAACACTATACAAAAAAATCATTTGTCCAAGCGCTTTGCTGATGTTTTTTCATCAATACAAAATTGAAATTGTAACAATGTGATTTTAAACTATAGCAATATGAATACTGACGACAATTGGCATCACGTTTCTTTATACCCCGAATGGCGTCGTATACAACGCCCAACTTTACTCATTAAGGCCGATAGAGCTCTGTTTTTTTTCTAACATTTGATTTGATGTCTTTTAGTTTAGAACAGAAAACGAAGTTTGAAAACAAAAATATTTAAAACTCACCTTTAGAGAATAGAGGGATCCCCCTGCCCTTGACCCATTATAGCAGCGTGCCTGACATTTTTTGCCAATATTTGCTTACAAAAATGTTTGAACTGAAAACGACCATGTCTTATAATAGTTTTGGAATGTTTTGGCCATCAGCATGACATTTGGGAGTCTTTTCCTAACTTTTACCGGGGATCGATGTGGTATAACAGAATATCTGTAGAATGTGCGTGGCTACCATATGGCAACCGATTTAAAATATCAGTTATCATCAAACTTGGTATTTTTAAACACAATACTTTGAAATAAGCAATGCTTCAGTCAAAACCATGATTTCTTTGCCTAAACCTATTAAATATTCACTTAAGACAAATACTCATGGTCACGTGACAGACTACAATGCATTCGGGGAATCCAATATGACCTCCATTGGCGCAAAACGCGGCATTTAATTTTCACCTTTCTTTACAATTTCGTTAGTTTCTGGGTACTTTTTCGATAGTTCCCTCATGAACAAATTAAATGAGAAACATTGATAAAATCACAATAAAAATTCATTGGGTGCCACTTTTGGTAGAAACAAAATCACATTTAGGAACAAACAATGTAGATTTTGCCACAAAAAAAGTGAAATTAATACAACGTCCTCTTCCGGTTAATGTCAATGCCAAAGTTTTGTTTAGTTTGATTGATAATGGTCCATGCACTGGTTGTTCCAAATCTGAAGGTATTTAAATAAATTAAACACAATGTAGACATTTTGGCCAATACCATTTTGACTAAAAATAGCCTAGATAAGTATTACATCGCCTTTCTGTGGTTGCCTTAGGGACCGTGACCATTCAGCCCTGGTATGAAAAGGCCCCCTCGGTACCGCGTCCGGTCCAGAGCCAGTCCGGTCTTCAGCCCAGTCTCGTCCGGTACATGGTCCTGTCTGACCAGAAGTTTTGAAGTCAGTCAGGCGCATCAATTTATTGCCTTTCAGAGAACGTCCAGAGCAGAACAATAGCAGACTTACCGGATTAAAGATAAAATCCTTTCAAACGCCTTGGTAATTTACGGCCTATTGTGCGCAAAACCTCATGGCAGGGGTTTTGATCTGTGCCGACGAAAGTGTTCTATTGTTTTGCGCTGAAAGATGAAAACCACAAGCAGGTTTCTTCTGGGATATATTACATGTGTCAATGCTTGCAAACAATAGACCCCAGGATAGAGGAGTTCCTGATTAGCAACCGGACCAGCTCCGAGGCCGGTAGCTGGGATGGTACACAAGGGCTTCTTGGGAGGGGACGAACTTACCGGGGGACCCTTTTCATACCGGGGCTGAATGGTCACGGGCCCTTAGTGCTATGCCCCCCCCACCCCCTCGCCGTCCCGTGGTATTGCGGTTTTGTGGTATAACACTCTCAATTTAGACCTCGACGAAATCATTCATTTCAGAAAGGCAGATCCGTCACTCGAATCTGTTAAAGGACGGATTCGTCAAAGAATATGTGGCGTTATACACCAAAGTCTTCAATTCATCAAATGTTGTCTACGAGCAATGATTTGCATTCAATGAGAAGTTTAAAGAAGCTTGTCGAACTTGATCAGATTTAAGATTTAGGATATAAAATCTTCACATACTTCACATGGTAAATGTGTAATGATTTGTTGGTTTTTATTTAAACGACGACAAGGTTGCAAAAGTCTTACTCTGATGTGATTTCGACAGCTTCTCTGACGTCAACGTTTGTCTCTAAGCTTGACCCATTTGTTTCCATATTTATGTGTTTCCTTTTTATGTTTTTTTTTTCTTTACAGATGAAGATTTGCGTGACAACCGCTCTTTCAATTGCGCTCCTTCTAGGTAACTCTGTCAAGCTTCGAGCTTCCGTTACTGAGCCAGTTCCCTCGGACGGTGATGGTCCTGCGTCTCAGGTATGTCAGCAGTGCTGCCAGGGACCTGCTGCCATACCCGGCATACCAGGTCTGCCTGGACCAGCAGGACCGATGGGGCCGCACGGTGAGCCGGGGTCAAAGGGCGTTGCAGGTCAGCAAGGTCAAAAGGGTGAGATTGGCCCTATTGGCCCTATGGGTGAGCGGGGAGCACTGGGGAACAATGGGTCTAAAGGTTACGATGGGATTGGCCTACCTGGAAAGATAGGTCCGAGAGGTCCCCCTGGTTTAGTTGGAACAACCGGGGAAACTGGTTTCAAAGGTCAGAAGGGTGAGCCAGGGGAGACACCAGACGACTCCAACCAGCGGGTGGCATTCACCGTGGTTAGGACGAGCCCTTCGGATACCTCTACGAGTCACGACACCCGTTTACCATTTCAGGAGACCGAGGCGCTTTTGCCGGGTACCAGCTTCGATCTCGAGACTGGCATATTTACCTGTACTGTGCCGGGCACCTACGTGTTCATGTTTTCTATGTGCAAACTTTATGACAAGGGCATTGCATACATTCATCTTCGAAAAAATAACGACTGGGTTGCCTCTGGCCTAAGCTATGATACAAATCACCATGAGCAAATGTCTGGAAGCGCGGTGTTGGTTCTGCAGCGAGCAGACACGGTGTATCTGACTATATATGGTAGAGCGCATAGTGAATCCACCCATCACTACACCTCATTCAGTGGCTTCCTTGTTTACCCCGAATAAACTAACATTAACCACGCATACAATTATGCAGGGAATCACACGCATTGCCGAATTTTCAATCTCTCCAAGTAATTGTAAAATAGAAATTTCGATATAACAGAAATTAGTTTACATGCATATGTAACTGTTGTAACATATGTAACATTTGTACTGTTTAGCGCATTCGTAGATCCATTCAACGGCATTAGATTCGCAAAGGGGTTTTGGTGCTTAATTAGCACTGCAGGTCTATATGCGTCTTTAATTATTTGTTTCATCATACCTATTGGGGGCCATTCAAAAAGTTCAATGTTTTTAAATTGGGATTTTTTTTCCAAATGTTTTTGACCCACCCACCCACCCACCCCTATTTTCGATTTAAAAAAAATTATGTGTCATTAAAAATCATATACATGAACATGTAGCCCTACATGCACTTGCATACAAATATACTGATACATGTACAGGTGTCCATGCACAATGCATATCCATGTATGCAAATTATGTGTCCATGCACATTGTGTGTCCAGTTCAGTGACGGCTAGATGAAGCGCTGCTCCCCCTGTTGCCATGGTGCCCTGAGAAATTGTGCTTCATCGCTGATAGTTGGATTAGGTATGTGTGTTGCAGTCCAGTGCTAAAAAATGGGTGTGCATCGTCAGTTGTGAAGTTTTAAGAAAAGAGTTCCGTCCTGCCACTACATTTTAAAAATAAATGTTGAACTACTCAAAAAGGTTTAAAAAGGGGTGACATTTTATTTTGGGGGCTATGGAGATAATCTCTAACCACCCAAACTAAATGCTTCCCCTTAAAAACCTGCTTGGGAATTCAAAATTCATTTCTAAAAAACTATTTCCAGGCCATAATACCAAACGATAGTAAAACTGTTTAGTTTTGTGCTCCGTTCCATTACGGGAACAAAAATGTGTGCTGGATCTGCCGGTATTTCGCGAGGATCTGCCGGTGTCTCGCATACATCCATGATGGCGGCCACTGTTATCGTCGTGGGAATGCCGCATTAATACTTGTTCATTATGCGTCACATGCATGCAGTGCTAGGAGGCGCTATTTATAATCTACAGAGGTCATTATTTGTAAATGGGGACGACGTTGGAAAAAAAAAACGTGAATCAGAACGCTCGTGCGTAGCACGGGCAAGTCAGAAGATCTAGTTTTGTTTTTGCTCTTTTTTTTCTAAGTGAACAGTGAATTTGGATTTTCAATTATTTACCTTGACCCACCCACAATTTGGAAAAATAATCAAAATTTAAAAACATTGAACATCTTGAATGGCCCCTGATGTTGAAATAGAAAAATTGTCATTAGAAAAATTAATATCTTGTGTGGATAGGGCAAATATTACATTGACTGTCAAGCGTACATTGATATTTCATTATTATACACATACATTCTTGTCACTGTTTTATCTGTACATACAATTGATTAAAAATCTTACCGGGCATCCGACGATCAGCTTAAAAGGTCAAAGTTTAGTTAAATAAACATATAAATGTAACGGTAACGGGTATTACGCTATGTACATTTACGAGTACAATCGTTTTGGTTGCACGTTAAGATGACCACAAATTCGTAGCCTTGTGGAGACTCACACACAATAGGGAACAAAACATTGTAAAGGTCTCCACAGGGCAATTTCTATAGATGAATAGGTCTCCACAAGGTTTTCACGAAAAAGATATATGGGTTTTACTCAAAAACTAGGAATTTCCAAGGTGGGTTTATTTGTCGCAAATGGAAGAGTTTTAGAAAAGGGATATTAATTCCAAATTTCAGCCCGGGAAACTTATTCTGGTTAAAATAAGAGCATTTTGAAAATTCATTTTCAAAATTGAACACTTTACCACACGGGAACAAAGAAATGTCTCCACAAGGATACAAATGTTGGAATATGTGCGCTGACAGTGCACGGATCGGTGTGCGCATCGCTGCGGATTGCATACGTTCTCTTTATAGCTGTCTACGTTTTGTGGTAATATCTTGCCCTCTGGATTCACGCATGCTCACAATGCCAGCATTTGTCCTGTGAACACATGTCCTCGGACTCAATACTGATTTCCCAATAAAATGTCTCTCTTCCTAACTTCTATTAATTGAAAAGGTGTGTTTCCGGATAAGGGGTTGAAGGCTTTTTATAAGATGGGCGGAGACACGCCCAAATACCAATTATTATATTTTTTTTTCAAAGTGCGCATTTTGAATTGCCTCACATGACCCAGAATATTTCAAATTTCATAATTCAATCAATTTTTTCCTTATTTTTTTACTTGGCATATTTTAAGTAGATCTTTTGTATAGTATTTTAAGTAGATCTTTTGTAATTGTAAATCACTTGAGTTTAATTCTTGTAAAACCTAGTTGCTAACGATTTAATACAATGTTTATGAGCATAGCCCATCACAAGTCCACTCAAGGTCATTCGAGGTGCTCAAGGTGCGAGCTACAAAGGGAAGTATAGAGAAAAAAGTTACACAGAGAGAAGAGATCTATTCACACTTAGTGATTCCAAACACTTTCATAACTAAGGCAATTAATTTCCCAATACTTATCGTTTGATGATGTCATGAAACGATGTCATCCAAAATCTGCTCTAGTTAACAACTATCATACAAGTACTCATAATTAATCTTTGTAAGATTTATCGTTATAGCTGCGATAGTAAACAAATTATTGAAAACAGAGTAGACGTTTGTGTGCTTGGATATTTGTTTCTATTTTCTTGCAGCTCAGGAGAAAACAATTTGAATTTTAAGGCTGGGGTTAAGGTCTGGCGGAAATTGGCTTGATGGTGGATGGGATTTGAGGATGTGTGGGATTGAAGGTGGATGGGTTATTAAGGGTGGATGGGAGACGAAGTGGGTCAGGTTGAGTTGGTGAACAAATAAAGGGTTGGCGTGGGTTGCAGGGGGTAGGCTGGACTATGGTTTAGGGTATAGATATGGGCAGAGGGGTTGGGATTTAAGGTGGGTGGGACTGAGTTTGATTTAGGGGCGGGGACGTTCATAGGGATTATCGTGGGGTTGTTGACAATGGGTACGAAAGTGCGACTCTTCACTTCAAGCTCAGCTAAGCCCAGCTTACGGACCTGTCTGACCAACTAGCTCTCAGGGGCAGGGGTTTCGCTTCAGTGGGGGATGGGAGGGGGGTGAGGCTCATTTGATTCGGGTGATTCACAATGCAGTGCACCACCAAGAGTTTGACAAGGAGAGTCCAAATTGTTCAAGCTTACGGTCGACAAAACATGGCCCTTTTGAATGAGTGTCAATAGACAACTTGAGCTAATATGTTATAGATTGGGGAATAGCGCTTTGCCGCCTTACAAAACACCATATTGATAAAAAGACAAAAAAAGGGAAAACAGATCCTCGAATCGTACGCCTACGAAAGTGCAGACCTGAAAAACGAACAATTTAGTTCAATGCCCGCGCTGCGAATTTGTCGACCATCTCGCACAATGCACTGGGACAAAATAACTCTCCGTGGCAAACTCTTGGTGGCGCACTGCATTGTGAATCGCCCGAGTTGCAAAGTGGTCTTGTCGGCAATCCTTCAGTATAAACAGCTGGAAAATTACTTTCACAGTCGGCGGCAGTGGGGGTTGGAGAGGGTTTATTTCCCCACCCACGTTTTGAAGTTTTTTTTTTTCCCCACCCACTTTTGGATACCTCGCTAAAGAGACGCTTGAACTGTGCGCCCCACGTCCAGTAACGTTCCGCAACGACTGAAACTACATGTACTCCGCAGTCAATGCCGATGTGAGTGATGTGCGCCTCCCCCTTCTCCCTTCCCTCTGATTAATCTCCCTGCCCTCCAATACATAATGACCAGACAGCTGACTGGACAACTCAAACAAGTGGGTATTTGCTGACACTTCATGGGTTTACATCGCAAATGGACAGAAGTCGGCGCGCGGTGAACAGTGTTCATGCAGTGCGCCCTCTTTTGGAAGCAATTGATGATAATAAGACGGAGTGTCCGGGTCTTACGCTGCCATTCCTTAAAATTATAACAAGTTCTTCTTTCACGGTTTCTGTAAATTTTCATGATTCATGCTTTGGAAAAAATTGTATGCAATGTCATTTAAATGCAATGTGTTTTTTTCTTGAGTTTTTGAGCTTACAATAACTGTGTTTACATTGCAAATGGACAGAAGTCGGCTCGCAGTGAGTAGTGTTTATATTGCTGACACATTGCAGCAAAAAAAGTGGCCCTCTAATCATTCTACACAAAACCCCAAGCGCTGCGGTTTGTAATTGTGCACAATCCTTATCAGAAGGCGTGTCACACTCAATTGACTTCGGCATTGGCACTATTTCCCCAGGTTGTGGAGGGACCAGTTTTAGAGATGTCTACTTTTCTGCTTTGGGGACAATAGGGTGGTCTTCTTTGGATGAAAATCTCTCAATGGCCAACTCACTTAAAATGAAAAGAAAAAAATGAGAAATGACATGTTGATCTTCATTTTTCTGTGCAGCTGAAATACCTGTGAGAGTTCTGAGTGTTTTTTTAACGATTTTTTTTTAAAGAATGGACATTTTAGTTGTTGAAAACCATGTTTGAGTTTCTTCCATCAGGACGCCGACTAAGATGCCCTCCATGTAAAACCAACAGAAGAAAGTTCTCTTTCATCCCAGTGGCTTTTAAACTTCTAAACAACTGATAATTATTTGTACGTTTTTATGTTCATTATTTTATTTGTCATTTTTATATGCAACCATTAATCAGGGGGTATCAGTATTATTATCATTAATCAAACTGTCATTACTCCAGTTGCCATTAGACCATTCAATATCTGCATTTTGGAGTTCCATCATTTTAAATTGGAATTCTTTTAAGTGAACTTTTTTTTGTTCATCATGTGTACATTAATCGTTTAAAGATACATTGTTTTTAGAGGGGGGGGGGGGCTCATGCCATATTTTAAATGGGGAGCGCCAATAAAATCCTAAAATCATTCACACTATATTAACTACAAATGCACCCTTGTCACGACTATTTCTTTA